TTATCTATCTTATTTATTTATTCCTTTAACGTTATGTTACTAAGCGCTTAGAACAGACTTGTATAAGCGCTATATAAGCCATATAAATTATTATTATTATTATATTATTGGTAGGTTTGTACTAAAAAAGATATTTCTTAATAAGAATGAATACGAAATGTAACAAGAGGCTTAAAATCGAAAGGCTTTCTGTAGTGGTAAACAGTCAGAATAAAATGTAGTGTCAGTGGTTTTACATCTACAGTAAAGGGAAAAGACACGGATGGCTGCACTTTGCTGACAGAATGACCTGTAAAATGAACCATGTAGCGACGCTCTGTGCACGCGTTCCCAACTTCGTACACTAGAGTTTGATTCGCATATGACCTGCTAATCAAATAAAGACAATCTGAGTCGTCGAGATTTACTATCTTCTGATTGGCCCCAAGGTTTCCTTGGCGACGCATAACTTCGTGGACTGCTTTAGGGGAATCCATGGTCGTCCATTTCCACATACTGCTTTTTCCTCTTTCTACTGCGTTATTGAAGATGGATCGCTTGCAGACACACAGCTGTATGGAAACATAGGGATCTTTGCATTCATGATAATCCTGGTAGGTTGTCAGACGTCGGAAATTCAAGAGTCTTGCAAAGAGGGTTTTCTTTGTAAAGCGACGTTTGAACGATGCAGGCGTTTTCGGATACTTGACATGCACTTGAAATTCTACATTTACAGGGCTGGTCGTAATATCCATTGTCACAAAGAAGTTCTTATCATCTTCCCTCAGATGAACTTTTTTAAAACGTTTTCCAACCAGTCTCTGACAGTTTCCAAATCCTCCAACAGTACTGGTGTTGCGCATGCCCATTGAATAAAGCCGCTGGATTTGGTTGTTAAGTTCACCTATCGCAAACTCGGCGACCCACGTAAAATGAGCATCATTATCAGAAAACCATTTTTCATTTCCTTTGCAAATGCACAGAGTTTCATAGGTACAAATTTGTCTATGTTCTGGTATTGCACTAAATATCCCTTCTCTTTGGACTGGCTTTGCAAGTTTGTCAAAATTGTAGTCGAATTCTAAGATTGAGGTCAAGGCTCCGTGGACATCCTTCAACGTAATGACACGCTTCTGGTTATTTATTAAGTTTCTTATCCTTTTTGCGCCTATAATTGAGGCTATTTTCTCAGGCATAATGATAAACATGAATGGGTTATACAGCTCATACATGCCTTCCAGAGAATGGATGGAATAATCAGTAGTTTTAGGCCCATGATCAGAGAAAACCAAGGTCAAGGTGCTTTGATCTTCAGCCATTTTCCTCAGGTATTTCGACAAGCTTTCATCGGCTTGTTGTATTCTTCTTCCTGTGTTCTCGTGCCCGACATTGAAATGAGTATATGCAAAAATACGAGAACTTCTCTCTTTCAATCCATTACTTTGAGAAAATACTTTATCAAGATAGTCTAAAAAATATTGAATAAAAACTTTCCCTGCATAACAGATTTTCTTAGGCTTGGTAAAGGGGTTGGTTACACCGTACTGGTTCAGGACATTGCAGGTTGCATGCGTTATACCCGTGTCGTCAATATAGCTGTTTTTGATATCTTGAAGAAGACGTCGCCATCTTTTTATCCTGTCCTTAGCATCACGATCCTTCGAAAAATCCTTCCTTGTGTTACCCATAACAGTTCCCCAGACATCGTACCAACATAGATCTTCTTGCAACAAAGTGTAAAAACCTTTTTCTTTTAGCTTTCTGTAAAATACATCAAAGCCGTAGTAATACTGGTAGTCACTGTTGATCTGGACACTTTTCTCGGCGTGGTAAAGAGAGTTACCGGTGAAGAATGCCTTCATGTTGATGTACGTATATGGACCAATACTTTGAAAGAGCTCGTAGTCTAAAACCATAGCATCCAGAGAATCGTTGTAGGAAATTTCTCTCAATGCTTTCACAGTTTTTGGAAGAGATCGATAAAAATGAGGCCGGGAAACAGAATCTAAAACCACCACGTTGATGTTAAGCACACTATTAACACTTGCTTGATTCTTTCTCGGTATTCGAGGAGGAAACATCAACAAAGTTTCGATAGTATTACTTCCTGAAGCAGAAAGACAAGATAAGAAACAAAACTGGAAGCCATTTTTGAAGTTCTCCTCAATTATTTCAGGTAAACTTGCTTCTAGCTCAGCGACTTGAAAGAATTCCTTCCATTTGGCTTTGTCTTCAAGCTCGCCATTCCTTGGATCAATACTAGCCACAAAGACCGAGTTTTTCCCACACGGTGTTAGATCACATTTGAGATTAACTTTCTTTGTTGTTGTCATGTTGATATGCGTAAAATAACAAAGGTCCTTCTTGTTATTTTCTTCCTGGCATTTCTCAGCTTTCTCCCCTATGCCATAGCTTTTGTAGGCTTTCTTGCATTCAACTTTTGACGGTACCCTCAATTTGCAATAAGTATTCGACGTGGAACTGTTTGTTCTAGTAGTAAAGTAAGGAATTTTTCTTATTCCAAGGTAAGGGCAAATGTTCCTTCCATCCACTGGAAAGTAACCTTCTGTTTCTGTCTCCTCACGCATTAGTCTACGCGCGTTTTCTTCACTTGTTAGAATTGATGTGTCTTTAAGGTTCGTTCGCTCGAGGAAGACTTCCTTGATGACCATCTTATAGATTTTGTAGTGATCTGGAAAAACAATGAACCAATGAGAAGGAATGACTAAGATCGCATGGAACGATAATAATAATAATAATAATAATAATAACTTTATTTAAGTCTCTATCTTCTATAATATATGATAATGATAATATATATAATAATGATAACTTTATTTAAGTCTCTATCTTCTAGCCGGGCACAAGTACCCTACTAATCGGGGAGACTATAACATAATACTAGAAATGTAAATGATAATAT